AGACCAGGTTAGCGGGTGTGTTTCAGACCAGGTTAGCGGGTGTGTTTAGACCAGGTTAACGGGTGTGTCTCCCTCTCAGGTGACCCTGGGGAAGGTGTTGAAGGCGATCGTTGTCATGCGTTCCCTGTTCATTGATAGAACCGTCGTACGAGGATTTAACGAAAATGTTTACAATGAGGATGGAAAGGTGGGACAAGGTCAAAGGTCAAATTTACCAGAGAGGTAACCCTTGATACCAGTGTATCTCCATATTCACTTGTCTGTCTTCCTTAGCTGGACATCTGGACAAAGTCTCAGTACCAGGTGTTCCAAAAGGTAAGATTCCCCCATTCTCACCTGAATTCCTGAACTGAGTGTGCAGCGCTCTGACTGGTTGTGTTGTTGCTAGGTAACTGACCACGCCTCCACCGCCCTGCTACACTACCAGCTGCCTCAGATGCCCGACGTGGTGGTCAGGTCCTTTATGGTGAGACACCTGTCTGTCTGTCTGTGGTCAGGTCCTTTATGGTGAGACACCTGTCTGTGGTCAGGTCCTTTATGGTGAGACACCTACCTGTCTCTGTCTGTGGCCAGGTCCTTTATGGTGAGACACCTACCTGTCTGTCTGTCTGTGGTCGGGTCCTTTATGGTGAGACATCTACCTCAGATGCCCGACGTGGTGGTCAGGTCCTTTATGGTGACCTGTAGACCTGGTTGCGGAGCTACATTAAACTCTACCTGTCTTGTCTCTCTGTAGACCTGGTTGCGGAGCTACATTAAACTCTTCCAGTCTTCCTGTCAGCGCTGTGGTCGTTTCCTGCAGGACGGACTTCCTCCAACATGGAGGGACTTTAGGACCCTGGAGGCATTTCACGACACCTGTCGCATGTGAAGAATCACTTCCTGTTTATTTGTTTACGGACTAAATTCTTTTTGTACAAACAAGTTTGAATAAAGTTGGATTATAATGTTTTTACAGTTGTGTATTTTTCATATTTTCAAGTATGATCTTAAAGTTAATTCAAACTTTCACTTATTATTAATACCTTGTTATACATACTGACTGAACTCAAATGGATCATTTATTTTTTATAACCATAAAAAACACGATTTTATTAAGATGCTGCTGAATTGCAGCTGAATTCTTTTTTCTATTTCATACAATATTCAATATAAATGTACACAGTAAAATCGACAGTGTCAATGAAACACTTAAAGAGTCAATTTTAACTGATTCAGTGAACATATGGTGCCCATCTACAGAGTGTTAAAGCTACACTGGACATAGTGTTACATTTTTAGAGTCAATTTAACTCTGGTTAGAGTTAATATTTTACACTACACTACACTGAGAAGTGTTACTCAAATTTGACACTATGATGTAAATAGCACTCGTAGTGTTATTTAAATTTGACACTTGGTCTTTTTGAGTGTTAATCAAAATTAACTCTAAGTTACTCTTCATGAGTGTTGGACCTACTTGACACCAAGTGTTTAAGAAATTACTCTAAATACAGTGTTGATGTTTAACTGACTCCTGCAGTGTTAAAACATATTTACTCTCTTAGTGTAATTCTTACCCAACACCTTATTTTCAATTTACTCCTTTTTAACTCTTCAACAGAACACTTTTAAGAGTTTTGCATTTTCTACTTTACCATGTCAGCTGACACTTCAAACAATAAAACAAAAAATGTTTGCAGGGGAAAAAACAAACACCATTATATCCATATCTTAATAACAATTTATTAAAAATAAAAACATTTAGTTTGCATACAATTTTTCATTATCAGTTTAGAGATGCAAGTGTAACTCCCATTTGTGCTACATTGTACAACAATTAAACCTCACTTTAAGTTTCAAAGATGGAAAAAAGACATTGTTCTTAAAAGACATGGTATATTTAGAATAGTACAATCTTAACAATGTCTGTAAACACTGAAAACTGTGTGTTTACAGTACATTTAGAGGATACACACATCCGAGTACAATTCATGTCCGTTTCACCTTAGAATAAACTTCGCTATCATCTGCAATCTACCAAGCAATTCAAACTAAGATCTGATTGGCCACTGAAAGAGTTGGGATGTTATTTTGGCTTTAAATATTCTGATTATCTGCTGCCTTCAGACAATTGTACTGCTGCTGGGAAAACTGAGAAAAACTAAATTCATAGGGTTGTCGTTAGGGCCCGAGCAACCGACGTCGGGCCAGCGAAGGCCCTATTGAAACTTTAAGGGGTATTAGTAGGGCCCGAGCTACCGACAACGTCGGGCCGCGAAGGCCCTATTGATATTGTACCCGTTTGGGTAAACGTACGCATGGTTGGAGGACTTGCCATGCATGAAAACTCACCAAAATTTTGGGGACTTGTCAGGCCTGGTGAATATAGCCATCTGAAAAAGAATGCATCTTTCTGTGTTAAGAAATGGCTCTCTAGCGCCCCCTACAAGTCAGACCGGCGACGCCCCTCGGCCAGTATGTCCGATTGACATGAAATTTGACACATGTCCACTTGAGCTAGAGCTAGAAAAAAGCCAATCAGACCCCTAAGCTCCGCCTACTTAGATTTTCCGCCATATTGAATTTAGTGTAAAACACATTTCTGTGAACTCCTCCTACATGCTTTAGCCCATTGCTACCAAATTTGCTGTGGTTCATTACTGGATCTACGTCATCAAAAGTTATCAAAAGCTTTTTGATATCTCTTTTCGTTTACAAGATATGTACCAATAAACTTCTTAGGGGCGTGGCTTAATATCAATACATATAACTTCTCAACCGTTTGTCCTAAAATTTCCAGATTTTCAGCATATGTGCACATTGCATCCTCTAACATACCCTGAGATTTATTTTGCATTCAACAACTAGGGGGCGCTACAGTAAACCCTCGAAGTTATGCTTTTTGTCACTTTTTGCAGATTTCAGCCTTCGCACTTTAACGAACTCCTACAGATTTTAAGCGATGAACTTCTACTTTGGTCAGGATGCTCTTAAGACCTTTGTGATTAAAAGTTATCAAAATCGAGAGTTTTCATCAAAGAACCTTGACGTGGCGTGGCGGCCATTTTGCCTCATTGTTTATGAAAAAATAAGTTCTTATAAATTGTTATAACTCCAAGGTACATTATCCAATCTGCACAAAACTTATTTTGCATGATGCTACTTCAAGCCTAAACATACTGCAATTGAAAAAAATTAAATAATTCATAGCGCCGCATACTGGCTAAAGGAAATGTCATATTTTATACTTTTAATTATTCCTCCTAGCCAGGTGACCTGATGAGTCTAAAATTTGGTAAGGATAGCCTTAAGACATTGATGATGCATCATCATGAATTTTTTGAGTTTTCGTTGAACGCTGTTGCCGTGGCGATGCATCGTTCGCCATGAAAAAGGAAGCTGATGGTTTACTGACTTCGGATGCTCAAAAACTCATGCAACTTTGTACATGTGTCATAGGTCATAGGAAGACAGTGTATATAGGTTTTTGGCTTGGTCGTTTTAAATTGCCTCTATAGCGCCCCCTACAATATTTCAAAAGAGCAGCCCCAGCGCTACGTTTCAGCTACATGTATGAAAGTTGGTAGGCAGATGTATCCTATAGAGACTTACAAATAAGTCTCTTGGGACCATGCTCTAAACCTTACCGGAAGTCGAACATTTAGATTTTTGTGTCATTTTTCAATAGATTTTGGCCTATTTCTAGTCGCTATACTTTAACGAACTCCTCCTAGGGACTTCATCAGATCAACTTTAAATTTTGTTGGATTGAAATTGAAATTCTTCATATTGAACAGCCACATCCAATTTAACAGACACAGTTCTGAGTTAAGTACAGTCCTAAAAAACAATATATATATATATATATATATATTTCACACAAGCGTAGAAGAACAGATGTGCTTGAAGAAAAGATATCTAAATTACCTCAGAGTTTCAGTCACCTTATGTCCGGTTGTGTTCCTTGACAATATGGTCTCCACCAGGTTTCTTGGCCAACGCAGATTTTTCCAACTGTGAAAAGACGATTTTTATTTTAATCACGTGATGGTATCTGTAAAAACAGCAAAAGTGAAATCACATTATGACCTACAACACAATTCATTCTGAGACAACACTGAAGTTAAATTTAACACTAACTAGCTTTTGTCAAACACACATTAAAAATGACTGAATATAAATGTAGACAGCAATATAACACTCACGTTACTTTGAAAAGTGCTTATTCAGTTTAACAGACAAAAAATAAACTATTAAATTAAACTAATTGGCTTTAAAGTGAATCCTTGTAGGAGGGCCCATGCACTCAAAGGGAAGGTTTGTCCCAGATAATATCACAACTCCCCACACATGCAGTATTTGCTATTTTACTGTCATCTATGGACATTGAAAACAATACAACACTGTCAGTCCTCCACATTGACCTCTCTTGCCCACATTGTGGAGTTTGATGTTAGCTAGGTAGCCTAGGTAACTTAATGTAGGAGCACATTTGAGCTAACGTTAGCTTTCAACTCGGTCAGGTTAGCCCTCTGCTATTCGGTATTTCAAGACACAAAAACAACTGGAGTGTATGTTGAACAACAATATTAAGTTATTCGAATTATTATTTTCTGCTGAAATGCCAAAATTTGGTTTCATACGTGGTTTAGAGAAACTTACCACAGTCTGTCGAGAAGTGCATAATGGCGGCACGGTGAAACTCCTGATCCGTTTGAAAGGAGAAGGAGGGGGGCGGAGCTTACCAGAGTACAGAGTTCTTTCCAGAGAACACTTGTCGCAGTGAACAATGACATCAACACTGGGGGACGTTTTACTCTTGCTGTTGTTGTAATAACTCTGAAATAGTCAATGCACTTTGACACTGTATATTATACACTGAAAAGTTTAACTCTGATTATTTTCACACTGGCCGATAAATTGGTAGTAATTACTCTTGCCGTTGTTGTAATAACTCTGAAAGAGTCCATATACTTTAACAATGCATATTTGACACTGGGGAATTTACTGTGTACCACAATTAAATCACAGTAATGTATTTGTATCCAGAGAATAAACAGTCTTAGTACTGATGATTTAGTATGAACTTCACATCGTGTCTCCTGCAGCTGATATTTAAGGAAATACTGTGAGCAACTGTCACACTGAAGTCGCCTACAGGTGGGAGACTGACCATCTGGTGACCTGGTGCGGTCTGAACAACCTAGAGCTCAACGCTCTAAAGACAGTAGAGATGGTTGTGGATTTCCTCCCTCTATCACCCTGTGTGACTCCCCTCTATCACCCTGTGTGACTCCCC